ATCTCAACCATATTGTTAGATCACTTAAGGAATGCAATCGTCATTCACAGAAAAGAATTATAACTATATTTGTAATAGTATTATCTCAACCATCATTGTGATTAGATCAATTAGGAAAGCTATGTTCATTTACATGAAAAGAAATATATGTTATATGTTGTAATTTGTAATAGTATAGTATAGCAGCATAATAATATTAATAATAATACTAAGTAATATCATCACCCATCGTTATTTTGTGTATGGCCAAGGTTCTAAGAGCATCTCCAACAATGATCTTAGGTTTTCCCTATATTTGAGGAGCAAATCTCTCATCCTAGAAAATAGGGAGCCAAATAATGAGCAAGTGCTCCAACAATGCTCTCCAAATGGCTTCCTATATCATGTCCTAGACTAAATATAGGGAGTAGGAGGGGGAAAAAATTGCTCCAACAATGCTCCTTATGTTGAGACTAAATATAGAGAGTCATTTCTTGTCTTTGATTTGGAATACCAAATCACAAGCCCTATATTTAGTCTTCATTATAGGGAGCTTGTTGGAGCCAAAATTTCCCCTCATACTCCCTAAATTTACTCAAGGACATGAGATAGGGAGGCTCTTGGAGATGCTCTAACATCTTGAAAAGTAGTGGATCGAAATTCATGAATACCCTCTTTATCAAAACCATAAAAGTGAATTCGAAAACATGAACCACCTGGCAACGGTGAACCAATTAGGGGAAACTCTACCTGGTGGCGACTCATTGCATCACCTTTGTTGTTCACAAAACACCTCCTCCTCCTTGAAAGTGCTTTGGTTCACGCACAACAGCTTCTCCCAAAACCTCCTCTTTTTCCCTCACAAACCCCGGAAGAGAGCAACTATGGAGATGGAGAGAAATGACCCAAGACTCGGGTCAATTTCGTCCAATATGGGCTCAACCCAGACACACCCATATGGGCTTCAAAGTAACGTTAAAAAAAAAGCCTAACTTGTTTATTTTAGCAACACTAAGCCAACAGATTCCTACGAGGCTCATTCTGATAAAGGTCAATAATTGATCCCTGATGTTGTTTCATAGCTAGAAAAGTTACGGATGTCAGAGTTCTCTGCGCAATAAAATGATAATAGACTACAGTGACTCGTTTTTATTTTGGATTTTTCTTATATTCATTCGTCTACCGAATTATTTTCATTTTAAGAGTTGATAATGAGTTTAGAATTTCATTCTAGAATTATGGACTTTGGTTCACGTTGCTCCTGCGATTCGGTTTTGAGAACAGGAATCAAAATTATAGGCTAGTTTTACTGTCTGAGAATGGATGAATATGATAAAAATTACTGTCTGAGAATGGATGAATATGATAAAAATTACTTCAACTGGATGATGTTCGTCCAGCTCATTTAAACGAACTCAGTGTATTTTCATCGAAGAATAAATTAAATACATAGGTTCTCAATATTTTTCCATTAAAAAAAACTCCCTCCATTTCATCATCAATCATGTGGGTAGTTGAGTCACTAAGCGTTCATATTGATGTACAAAATGAGCTGCAGTTCCTTCACACATTCTGCCATTGATGGCCTCGAACTGCCCTCAATCCGAACACAACGCGATGCAAGGTTCGCAAACATGGTGATTGATTCCATGGTGTATGAACTCTTTGCCATTTCAGGGTCAATAACTTTCCGTAGCTTTTTCCTGTCGTTTAATATATTTCGAACCTAAAATTATCGACAGAGAACAGAAAAAAAAAAGTTCTGAGTTTCTACATTTTGGAGGAATTAGAGTAATCTGTATTAAAGTTGAACTGTTTGGATACCTGAAGTATAACATTTTGATCCGCAGGACCTTGGTTCAACTCCAAAGCATGACGGCCTGTTAACAGTTCTAGTAGGACTACTCCAAACGCGTAGACATCACTTTGTAGTGTGAGCTTCCCTGTCTGAATATTGAAAGAGGTAAGCTTTAGTAGTGCATTTTCAGTTGCTTCACAAATCCATTATGTTGTGATATGAGAAGAGGGAAAGAAGAGGGTACACCACTGTCTTCCAGAATTTTGCATAGATTTCATCAGATGCCTTTGTTTTCTTAGTAGAGCTCAAAGACAATATCATGTGCTCTGAAGGTTTAGAGAATTTAAAATTTCTTCTTGAAAATTTAGTTAACTTTCGAAGGGACTGTGGTTTTGTTGCGATTCCTCCAAAAAGTAAGTACTGTGTTTTTGCATTGTTTAGATTTTTATATGGTGGAAAGGTTCGATCATTCATAAATTTTCTAGGAAATCTTCATTGAAAGCTCTTAAATTTGCCAAGCAACAATGAAGCAAATAGTGGTTACAACCCGTGATAACTTTTCACATTTTTTGTGTAATTGTTGTCCATCAGCTATTAACTGATGATGGCTATTAACTGAAACTGATATATATGTCATCCCTCTCAGCTTTTAGCTTGCTCTCCTAAGAAGTTTCAAATTCATGTCAGGTTTCTTCTGGTCTTTTAAGTATTGGGTTACCCTTTAAACCATCAAAAAATAAAGCTATATAGCATAGGAAAGATACATACCAATGCATACTCAGGATCAAAGTAGCCAAAAGTACCTAACACTCTTGTGGTAGCATATATGTCCTCATCTTCTGGCATCAACTTAGCAAGACCGAAATCTGATATCTGAGAATGGAAAATGTTTCCAGGTTATAAAGATACATAAAGTAGATGCATTATCAGATTTCGACAGGAAAAGTTAGCTTCTTATCTACTGAATACCTTTGCTTCCAAGTGTTCACTCAAGAGAATATTGGTGGATTTGAAGTCTCTGTGTACTATAGGAATACCGATATCTGAACTGGAATGGAGATAAGCAAGTCCCCTTGCTGCCCCCATTGCCACTCTCAGTCTCAAAGGCCAGTCCATCTTCACATCACGAATACCTGTACGAAAAGCTTTAAGATTTCGTGATTATGGCAGAATGGAATTTGAACAGGCGGTTAAATCAAGAAAAAAAGAAAATACACAAACTTGCGAACCATTTAGAAGATCTTGTAGGTTTCCATTGCGCATAAATTCATAGACTAAGAATCTATTTTTCCCATCAGCGCAATAGCCAATCAGGGTGACGAGATTTGGATGGTCAAGTCTGCTCAAGATGTCTACTTCCACACGGAATTCACGCTCTCCATCAGCTTGCTTTGATGGTGGTAGCTCCATTTTCTTTACCGCGACAACCTTCAGATGATGCAAAAAGCTTTGAGATATTTACACCAGATACAATAGATAACCAACATGTAATTCACATCATTGATGTAAAAAAACATTTGATATATTATATAAGACATTTTCCCCCCAGCAAAAACCTGATATGTTGGATAACATTCTGATGTGTATTACCAAGTTTAGTATTAAAGGGCTTCTTGATATGAATTATCAAACACTCCTCTCTAGTGGAAGTTACACGTCAATTCTCCATGATATGTTACTGATCTCCTAGCAAAGGAAAGTTATCTTGCATAAAGTAGCCTTGCAAAAGAGAGCATTCCATCACTCAGAGTAGCTATTTTGTCAATGAAGAGACACTATCTTATATATGTGCACGCCAAAATGGCAAGCAACCCTCAACAACTCCTCTAGAACTGAAGGTTCCACTCTTGTTCCATAGAGAATTTGCACTCAATCTAAGCCAACAGATCGATCGCCCATGTATGAATGTTTCTGTGATGACTTATACATCGATTATGTCCGTTATTAAACAATCTAATCAACTACCAAATAGTTTCGAAGGCATTGCTTGCATACCTCTCCATTCTTTAGGGTCCCTTTATACACCCGGCCAAATCCTCCTTTTCCAACCAAATTCTCCTCATTAAATGAGCATGTTGCCTCCTCCATTTCCTTAAGGGTGAACACCAACGAACAATTGCGTCTTTTGGACTGAGTATTTTGATCTCTGAGCTGCCAAGACTCCATCGGCTTGTATATCCCTGAAAAAAATTACACATAACCAGAGATAAGTCCTTTTCACAAACTCAACGAAAAAAAAAAGAAGAAAATATCCAACATTAGAGACCAAAATCAGTAACATCTCATACAAGGATCAACAGTGTCATGTGACTTGCTTCTCCTCCTCTTGCTCCACACCGAAACGATATTGAAAGGCATGGCTGGTCTTCCTTTTAACTCCCTCAAGGAGATGCGAGCATTAAACTAACACGTACACTACACGGGGAATCAAAACATGGCGAAAGTTCAATATCATCAGTAGAACAGAATACCCACAGAAGGAAATGAAGGGGAGAGGTGAGAACAACTAAACAGCTCACCCGAGCCCAATTCAAGAAGAAACATTGAAATTTATGTAGCAGTTGAAGGAACACGGTCCGTGTTGCATTATAAGGTGAAACCTCTGAAAGAACATTTCTGGTACATAAGAGGTGTGTCACTATTGAAAGGGACAATTAATGAGAGAGGGGGAGTCTCTAATTTTTGGGAGTATGTATGAAGGGAAGTTAGAATTTGAGAGCACTCAACAACCCCATCATCCAACAACCCTATACTTCTCGAAGGAGCAAAGCAAAAAGGAAAGAGACGAGGGGAGCAAAAAGAGGATAATTGGAGAAGACAGAAGCTATAGAGCTTGGAGAATAAGAAAAGCAAACAGATCAGTGAGCAATATTGCATAATTAGTAGAATCATGCTCTTAGAGGAATTGGCTTGGTTGGAGGATGTAGGGAAGAGAAAACAGTTGAGAAGAAGCATTCAGTCGTTAGTATTATTTGCTTTGCTTTACTTTTAAAAGGAGTACTACATGAGCTAATTATTTTTTTTTCTCTCAATAAAATAACTGTAGCATAAGTATCCCGTACTGAGCAATCTGATCAAACTCATTCATACGACAACAACAATCATAATAAGGTCTAATACATCTGGAAAACCTTCTATTATATTGATTTTTCTTCAATTCAGTTGTTTTTTTTTGTCCCTTTTCTTTAAAGCTGTATCTTCAATAATTTATAACTATTTATATTTGGTTGATTGTTTCCATGATCCATTTTTAGTTAGATCTACTTCTTTAACTCTTGTTCTTTATAAACTAAATTTTGTCACCTACGTCGGGTCAAACAAGTTTTAGTATATTTTTCACTTATTCATTCTAGCACTTGATTTCTGTGAAAACGGCGAAGGAATTGAGAAAAACGTAAAACTTCATGGTTTTCAAGAATTGAGGATAATGAATGTCACCCGTCAGAATTATAAGAGGAGATTTTATCATTCTCTTATATATTCCTATTGTAGCACGTCTTCTCCTTTTTCACGTTTTTTCGTATCTATTTCTTTTGTATTTAGTTTTCTAGACATCTAGTGCCAACCACTAGGTGGGAAAAAAAAAGAAATTATATAAAGTACAGAAAGGATTAGAGAGACGTTGAGACGAAGCTTTCAAATTTTCAATCACTAGTTCGTACTTTGCTTTATTTTTCAGAAGGATACGTGGAAACAAATATTCCATTGGAATCCCGAGTTTGAAAAAGGACAAGTAGCCTCTGAGTCACCTGATTCTTTCTATTTCCTCGTCTCTTATCAATGATTTTTTCTGGCAATTATAATTACTCTATTTTTATGATTTATCCTTTCAAAAAATCTGATCATTTTGGGCTTGCTCTCAGGTCATGCAAATGGCAGGTAGTGTTGCTCGGTCTTGACGAAGTTCGTGTGGAGAAGAATTGGAAAAAGCAGATTTTTGGTCATAAGTCGACTCATGCACAGGCATAAGTCGA